GTTATTTTTTTTTTTTTGAATGCTATAACTTTGTTATTTAATTAAAAGATAGTGTAAAAAGAAGACAATGGACAATGTAGTGAATATAATCAATTGATGAATTTGAATGTAAAGAATTTTTGTAATGTTGAAAATAAAGACAATATAACTAATGAAATTATTTCTCTTATTTAATTTATTAATAATGATTTTTTATTTTTTTTGAATAAAGGCATGGTAGACACATAATTCTAAATTAAAGAAATGTATATGTATTATTTTGTTTGTTGTAGCTACTAATTTTTTTTAATTTAATAAGAGTAATAGAGTCGAACTTAATTATGCCAAATTTGATTGGGATAAGGTTCGAACCTAAGACCTTCCTATGAAAATCAATGAGTAAGTTAAAGAATAATAAATAGTTAACGGAATACTCTGTTACTAAAGTTTATACTAACGGAGTGTATGAATATTTAGGAAAAGTAAATGATATAATAGAGGATAAAGTAGAAAAAAAAAATTAATTCCATTTTTTGTTCTAGATTTATAGGTGTCAGTCCACTTTTAGTCCTAGTATTATTATGGCATGACCAGTTTTAGTCCTTCTTCAACAAAATCGTTGAAATGTCGTTAAGACATTTCAATCTTTTTTTTATATATATAAAGTAGGTTGAACCCGATATATTTTTTTTTTGAAAAAATTCATAATTAAAGACCGAAATGTCTTGTATTTAGCGATATTTAAACTATTTTGCTGATATATGACAAAAAATGGTCATGCCATAATAATACTAGGACAAAAAATGAATGTACTAATAAAAAAAAAGAATTAAAGTGAATTTTCACCTATAAATCTATGACCAAAAATAGAATTAACTCATTAAAAAAATACTAAAATCAAAATAATCTGAACCATACATTTTATCAAATAATTTGACGGACATTTTTTAGCTCCCATTATAAGCCTAACTTTATTGGCTTTTTTTAGTTCCCAAAGTCTAACTTTATTGGCTCTTATTTATATAGTAGATGTAACGCCCATCCACCTTTGCTACACATTTTCGAAGTTTGCTACATCATTCTATACTTCTCTTCAACTTTTAGATAGCTTCTCATAGTTTGTAGAACTTTTTAGGAGCATGTACATAACACTAGAAGTAGTAAAAACTCAAAATATTCTAAAATCTTGTAGAATCCTTAAGTTTGTGTAGAGATTTAGAGAGAATTTTAGAAATTAATTAATAGCTATAAGATTAAATAAATCCTCACCATCAATTAAGGAGGTGGAATGATTATAAGTAGCCCTCAAAGAGACTCATTTGTAACAACCCCTAGAACCTAAAGAATCCCGGAATTTAACCGATACAATCTTTATCTGCCTAGCAGTAGGCAGGTCAATGCTCAGGGTCATCTGCGCAGCAATGAGCCCAGCATAAAATTAATTTATTACATTATAAAAAACCAAAAAGAGATGAAAAAATATATATTTAAATGTAGCAGTTGCCACAAAATTTATGCAAAACTATAGATATGCATCAACGGTACACTATCTGTACAAACAGAAACATGATTGAAGTTATAGGTTTTAATTTAGAATACCTAAAGAGCTTTAATAATGCTTTATTTAGCAATTTTGATTTTCATCAGAAAAAATTTCTCGTATGTTTTTAAATATTTAAACGACGACGTGACCAGCAACGCAATGCTACCTTTGGTCAGATTGTCTCACAGAACTAGAAATGTCTCACAAAAATAAAAATTGCCAAAAACAATCACGGTTGCACCCACCATCGCAATTCCAGAAAAAAAAATTCTTGCCACCGAATTACCAATCATTGAACTGATCAACTAACCGAACAACTACAATGTCCAATCATTGAACGGCTCACCATCTTCGATCAGCATTTCTCCGGCCTCACGAGAAAGACAATCGAGAAATATTTTCAATGTAAAACACAATATCAGCCAAATTAGGAAGACGAACAAGCGAAAAAATGCAAAAAAAATTTGTATTAATAAAAAAGGGAAAAAAAATCTTTTTTTATTTTTAAATTAAATACATCTCATACATTTAATAAAATCTTCTACTATAAAAAAGAGTTAATTTCATTTTTAGTCCTAAATTTATAGGTGACAGTCCACTTTTAATCATTTTTTATCAAAACATCTTTTTTTAGTCCTAGTATTATTGTGACATGATCAATTTTAATTCTCTATTTACAAAATCTTTAAAATTTATTAAATTGAATGACATTTTGATCATTTTAATACAAAGTGCGTTGACCCGTTATATTTTTTATGTTTAATTTTTTGAAAAAAAATCATAATTGAAGAACGAAATACCTTGTATTTAACCAAATTTCAATAATTTTTTTTATAAATGATCAAAATTGGTCATGTCACAATAATACTATGACCAAAAATGAATATTATGAAAAAAAAAAAAAAAAAAAAAAAAAGCTAAAAGTGAATTGCCAGTTGCCACCTATAAATCTAAGACCAAAAATGAAATTAACTCATAAATAAATAAATGTTTGAACGCATTCAAAAAAAAAAAAAAAAATGTTTGAACTCTCTAAAATAGTTCAATTCTTGATTTATTGAGCAAATATCAATTTTGGTCCCACAAGTATTTAGCAAAATGACGGTTTTGGTTCACATGTTTAATTCTTACCAATTTTCATCCACGACTATTATTTTAGTACCAAAAATCATCACGCCGATCAGCCCTCTATTTAAGACATCCCGAAATCTAAAAATTGTAAGGGCATTTTCCTCTTTTTCAACATAGGGTTCTAATTTGAGATGGAATAAATAGATTTATTTAAGCCTTAAAATCGATCACTTCGCAGTTCTCCTCCTCATCCTACCTAAATTTGTGGAGAACTACGGATTGGATAGATCTTATGGCTTAAATCCATTTATTCATGCTCAAATTGGGATCTTAATTTGAAAAGAATGAAAATACCCTTAATAATTTCATTTTTCGGCATGCCTTAAACGAAGGGGTGACTAACGTGATGAATTTTGGGTCAAAGTACCTATGAGGTCCCTATACTATAGTATTTTGTTCAATTTGATCTTTTTACCTTAATTTTGTTCAATTTAGTTCCTGTACTTTTAAAAGTGAAACACTTGAGGACAATAGCTTATATTTATGTATTTATTTTGGACATATTAATGTAATATATCAATCGTTATACCCTACACCACGGCGCGCATAGCACTGTGCGTCTCCCAAAACGACGTCGTTTTGGGAGGCGCAGTAGAAAGTTGCTGTGATTATGTATATTTGTTCATACAATTATGTATATTTGTTCATTCAATTATGTATATTTTTTATACAATTATGTACACTTTTTTTTATTCAATTATGTACATCCGAATCAGGAAATTTTTGTGTATTATGTTAAGAGTTGATGTGTATTATGTTAGAAGTTTATGTTTATTATGTATTATGTTAGATTATGTGTATTATCTTTTAAAAAACGGTATGTATATTTTGTTATACAATTATGTACATTCATGTATACAATTATGTACATTTTTGAACATGAGATTTTTTTTAAGGAGAATTAATTGCCAAACACTGGGTAGCGAAATTTCAAAAAAAAAAAAAAAAAAAAAAAAATTTGAAACAACTTCGTTTTGCATCTGGGCGCACAATGCAACGCGTGCCGTGGTGCAGGATATAAATTGCCATAATATATTGGTGGTAAAAATAATTAATTTAAAATTTTTTTAAAATAATATATGAGTTGGCATGTAAGTATGATGACATGACAGATCGCTACATCAACTATTGTCCTTAATTGTTTCAAAGTACAGGGACTAAATTGAACAAAATTAAACAAATCACTGTATCACTGTAGTACAAGGACCTAATAGATACTTTAACCTGAATTTTGACACTAAAACAATAATTGTGAATTAAAATTGATAAGAATTAAGGGCTCGTTTGGTTCGCGGAAAATATTTTAAGGGAAGTGGAATTGGAATTCCATGGAAAATAAATTACTAAGAAAATGAATTTCATTGTTTGGTTGGTGAAAAAAAAATTACTGGGAATACTAATTCTATTGTTTGGTTAGATTTGGAATTGTAAGGAATAATGAGTATAAAGACTTATATACCCCTACAAATTAATAAAAGTAATATAATTAAAAAAGAAAGTAAGGATAAAATAGGCAATCTATTCACTTTTTCTTCCCATCTTCCATGGAAAACAAAATCCTTGGTCCAACCAAGGATTTTGTTTTCCTCAAATTTGAGGAATTCATTTTCTAATGGAAAATGAATTCCATGAACCAAACACTAGAAAACGACATTTTCCTTCACTTTAAGGAAAATGTTTTTCTTTGGAAAACATTTTCCATGAACCAAACATCCCCTAAACATGTGAACTAAAACTGTCATTTTACTAATACTTGTGGGACTAAAATTGATATTTGCTCTGATTTATTCTTTCAATTCAATCCCTTTGTTGTGATAAATTTTCATAATTTCAAAGTACAATGATATTAGATTTGCAGACAGATTTTTTGTGCCATAGCTCTTCGTTCCTGGCCATCCAAAATTTCCAACTAACCATCACAAATAAACAAGTTTCATCATAAAATACTCTCAGCCATCCAAAATTTCCAACTAACCATCACAAATAAACAAGTTTCATCATAAAATACTCTCAGCCAAACCTTCAAATGTGACACTATCATACCTCACCATCTGACAACTTAATCAATTCCAATACTGTCGAGTCACTTCACGTTCAATCAGCAGATGAAAGATTGATTCACTTCATACTTCACAAAAAAGGGCATGGTAATTGATAGAGTGTTGATCTATATTGTATACAAGTAATAATGGATAGATCAATTTGTTCTTCTATACCATTTTCTTTACTCAGATAGTTAATGCTTTACAAAGGTACATACACATCTTGCATTCATAGATTCTAATTCATACAGTTTACACAAAAACAAAACAAAAAGCAAAAAATGCAAATATGATAGGGAAACTAATTAAAGAAACAGCAATAACAAAACTATATTTAGATCTTGAAAGTTGAAACACAGATAATAACTGTCATAATAAGCATCAAAGAACATGGGCATGGCATTCAATTTGCTACAACTAAATCCCAAGCCATGGGAAAATTCAACTGGGGTATAACCATAACAAAATAAGAACATTTGCATTGTTCTGATTTCCAAATTAGAAAAGGGAGGTTCCCTTTCCCTTCTTATCCCCACCAATCTCAAAATGCTTGCATCTCTGCACAAACAAACAAACAAACAAAAACAGCAGTGATTCATTAGTCAATATTAAAAAATGAACAAATGATGGGTCAATCAAAAACTAGACGTAATCGTTTAACAACAAACCTTGATTGCATGTTGGGAAACATGCTTGCACCCTTGGCATTGCAATCTCAACACAATCTTCTTCGTGGTCTTAGCCTGGTTTGTGGATCAGGATTAAAAACGTCAGAAGAGTCAGTCCATGAAAGAAATTCTTTCTTTGACTATAAAAAAAAAAGTAAATTTTTGCACCACAAGTTTACTTAAATCCATACATAGTGGATAGACATTAAACATTTCACCGAAGCAAGAATAACTGTTCTCATATAGTTTCACCTTTTTGTGGAACACTGGCTTGGTCTGTCCACCATAACCTGACTGTTTGCGATCATAACGACGCTTTCCTTGAGCAGCAAGGGAATCCTTTCCTTTCTTGTATTGAGTAACCTTGTGCAAGGTGTGCTTCTTGCACTCCTTGGACTTGCAGTATGTCTTCTTAGTCTTTGGAACGTTCACCTGCAAGAGACAAACTATAACATAAGTTTCCATAACATACCCTCTAACTAAAGGAGCTTAGTTGAAATTAGGGAAATAACAGAGGGCATGACAAAACAACTCTATACAAATACAATGCTGAATTATCACAATTCAGAAAGAAGGGAACAGGCTGAAATCCATAAATATGAGATATGCAAGAATCATAGATTGATTCAGAAAGAAGGGAACAGGCTGAAATCCATAAATATGAGATATGCAAGAATCATAGATTGCTTATTTGAGAAACAGCTTTTCCCATAAATTTGAAATGTATCAGAATAAGAGAAATCAAAAGCAAAACTGCATCCAAATACTAAAACCACCAAAAAGATGAGATATAACCCGCTATATCCTTTCAAACCCTATCTGTATACTTCATCAAACTCTAACTCTAATATTATGCAAAAATTGAGGAAAATTGAAACTTCATCTGAAAAATATGCCAAAAAATCATCAATAGCCATAGCACTATACATGAAACTCAAATCACTATATACCACACTCACAAATAATGTTTAGGTCAGAATAAAATCTCTCGTTTACACTCCATCTTCTGAATCTCTGCTCAGTCCAGATATAAAAACGAAAATAGCTAATAAAACAAATCATATCATGCATTTATAACGCCACAAGTAAAATGAAAAACACAATTCAATAGAAAAACAAAACCGGAAAAGCTATGTGCCGATCTAAAAAATTGAAGAAAGAGGGGGAGGTTATTACCATGGTTGAGGGTGGGAGAGACTAAACGAGATTGCCGTTCTGCAGACCAACTTCCGGAAACCCTCAGCCGAGACTCAAGAGAGCGGATCAGGATTTAGGGTTTGGCAGTTATATATGATTCTTTAGGGTAAAAATGTTTGGGCTGAATCGTTTCCTTATATTGGGCCGTAACATTTCTCTCGCAGTTCAAACAGTATGTTGGGCCATAACATTTCTCTCTCAGTGTCCTTTTGAAAGAATCAAACGTTTTATTTTAATTTTAATTTTTTTTATCAAAAGGTGGGAAACCACACAATCGTTATATCGTGCATCAGGGCGCACAATGCATTAGGGAAACCACACAATCGTCATTGTATCCTTAAATTGAAGATTTTTAAGGTAGCTTAAAATATGATTCCTTAGAGAAGAAATCTCATGTTTCTTGGTCTCACATGCATACACTTTTGCACAATATATACATTTTCTTTTTATGGCAATGCCCTCATTGTCTTTAATCTTTTCAAAGTAATCACATTCTGGAGATCTGGTGGTTTCAACCTCTTTCCTTTTCTTTGGAACATGTGGAGGCAAAGGCTGCTGAGACTGAGGAGTAACAGTCTCTACAGCTGGTGCTTCAAGCCTTCAACTCAGGTTGGCTTCCAGATAGACCACTAACACTTTCCATCCAAAAAGGAGAAAGTATCAGTGAATGCCTGAATGGGAAATCACTCATGAAAAATCATCAACAATTATGGACTAGGTCTTTGTCACACAGGCAACAATTACTTAAAGTTTTAAACAGACAAAATTCAGTTAATTGGACATTTCATCATGTATGCAGAATTGCACATAAATGATTTAAGGGTCACATATCCATAAACTTAATTACTTAATACTTATAATTTCACACTTATAATTTACAAAGAAATCCATAATCAGGCATTCAAGCTAAGTAGATGTATGCTACTTTATAATGCTCATCATTGTATGAATTTCAGTCACACACTCACACACATGGTGTCATGGTGACATGGGCTAGGGTTTCCACCAGAATACCAGCATGCTTAACATTTATATGGATTACAGTATTTCACACGCAGTGCCACAGTGGCTAGGGGCTAGGGCAGTAGGGCTTCCACGAAATGACAAAATCATAAAAACCAACTAAGTATCACTATATCAGAAATTTACACTCAAAGGACTAGTGACATGCAATCCGGAACTTCTCAACAAATTGACAAGTATCACTGTCCACATAATCATAGCAAATTAGAAACCCTAATCAAAGTATCAGAAATTCACACTCAAAGGACTAGTGACATGCAATCCGGAACTTCTCAACAGATTGACAAGTATCGCAGTCTACATAATCATAGCAAATTAGAAACCCTAATCAATAAGACAATAATCTATAACAAAAATGTAAATAGGGTTTAGCAATTACTTCGTTTCTAAAAAGTAATCCCTCGAGAACAGAGAGCTTCGATTCCAGCGTTCCTGGTGAGCTGTCGTAGGCTCCCAAATTAGAACCTTACAAACGTAGTAGTGGGAGTAAGGGTCGATCCCACGAGGAGTAACTAGTTTAACTTTTGTGCTCAAATTAAAGGTAGGGGGGTTTGGAATATATCGAGAATAAAGATAAATTAAAAAAGAATTTAAATAAATAAGTAATTTAACTGAACGAATAAAGCAATGAAAATAATATATCGAAACACTTATAATAAGAAACCTTGGTTAGTAAAGATCCACCACCAGAATTCAACACTGATCATTGATTAATAAAGTAATTAATATGCAATTGAATATTTGTCGTGAAATGATTTCATTTCTGTTTTCCCTTAGTTATAGATAAATAAAGCACAAGCGGTTTAATTACCCCTAACTACTAAATAATCTAAGACAAGCGCTATAGATTTAATTTAATAGCAGCAATAGGAACTAGGAAAACCGACAAACTAAATAACACAAGCACAAGCGGTTGCATTTAACTTAGGAAAATATTCGACCCGAGACCAATTATCACTAAGCCGTCAATAATTAACCTCAGTTGCTACTGAATATTAGAATAATTTGTAGCACAACATTAACTAATATAGCAAATAATTATATCAAATAAATAACTAGTAGGCCTCCCTAGCAATTAAATGATACAACTATTCAAATAATTTAGAAGAATATTTAATACTCAAATGCATAAAAATATATATAATAAAAATAAATAAATAACCTTACAGTGTAATGAACTCCGGGGCTTCAATTCACTAAACCAAACTAGAAATTAGCCGCGAATGGACATTGATAACAACCTTAAAGAATATTCGAGAGGGGAAGAATGAACATTTTACAATAGAAAACCTTAACTATTTATATATTTTCCCAATCATTTTCTACCACTCATTTTTCCTATTATTTTGCCTTATGCCTGAGTCTTCCACAATTCCAGCCATGTTATTATGATGCATGCCTGTACAAAAAGAAAAAATCAATTGTAAAGTTTAGATTTATAATATATATATATATATAAAAGTAATTATAATGTAGTACGCATTATATGCATACTATAATGCATTCTATATTATATATATTATATTATATATTATATTGTATATTATATATATATAGTATTAAGTACGTAGTATGTACTCTTATAAATTATATATTATATATATTATATATAGTATAAGAATAGATTATACTATGTATATAAAAAGAACTAATTATTAGATAATATTAAATAATTAATATAAAAATATTATAAAGATGTACCTAAAATATGAGCGTAAAATATGCCCATCAGTTCCACAATTCCACCGGTGACTGGACTAGATTCCACCACTCCACCAGACTAGCCGATTACTCGTATACTTCGACTAGGGTTTCCACCAGAATACACCAGAGTAACAGACTACAATGCTGAGTGTCTAAGAGACTGAGAGAATTAGACTATCAAAGATTCAGAGAAGTGAGAACTCGGAGAGTAAGACTCAAAGACCAGAGTGAAAGAGAGAACGATGGATGAGAGAACTCAAAGACTAGAGCGAAAGAGAGAACGAGAGAATTCTCAAATGAAATGAGGGCTCGGCTGCGCTGAACAAACATTATATATATATATATATATATATATATATATATATATATATATATATATAAAACAACCACACAACGTCGTATTACATGGGGTAAAAAAGAACCCTAGTGTATTACACGACGTCATATTGCCCCCAACCTGAACCCTCTTATCCGCCAATAGACGCAGCAACAGGTCGGATACGATCCACGCCACGGCTTCATCCGTCGAGTTTCGGGTCGGGCGGGTCAGTTTTTTCGGATATTGCACACCCCTACTTTTAATATATTAGAAATGTACCTTATATTCAAAGAAAATATATTATTTGAATATTAAAATACATTATTTTGTATGTACATTAATACACACAAAAAAAATACAGAGTATATTTTTAGTATATTAAAAATGCATTTTTTTTATGGTACTCACAATTTGCCTTGTATAGTAATTACTAGTCGTTTCTATGTGCGATGCGCAAACATATGCCCAATATTTATATTTTTTGAAATAACTAACAAATTCATACTAATTAAAATTATATGAAATCAAATTTATTTATTATAATAATCCAATATATAATATCTACAAATATTATTATCATAAAGAATATAAGAAAATATATGGTGAATACATGTGCATGGTAACAATAATGGAAAAGATAACGAAAGTTATAACGGTAGGGGTATTTTTGTCAAAAGAATTATATAATACAACCCTAAAAGCACAATGTATAAAATGATTAGTATTAAAAACATGAACATAAATGAGGGACATAACTTTGATTGAGACTTATTATGTTTTTGGATTAGTATAGGCTCAAATGAAAAGTCCAGCCCAGTTGTCTCTGGGTTGGATCTTGATGCAAATAGAGCAATCATTATACCTTGTACCACAGCGCACATAGCATTGTGCGCCCCGCGCCTCCAAAAACGACGTCGTTTTGATAAGTTATGTAGGGAGTTGATGTGATTATGTGTTTTGTTTATACAATTATGTGTATTTGTTTATGCAATTATGTGTATTTTTTATTTTTATTTTTGAATGCTACTGACTCTATTACAATGTAGTATCTGTTCAATTATTATGTATATTTGGTTATACAATTATGTATATTTTTTTTTATACAATTATGTACATCCAAAACATGAAATTTATGTGTATTATGTTAAAAGTTGATGTATATTATGTATTATGTTAGATTATGTGTATTATCTTTTTTTTTAAAAAAATATGTGTATTTTGTTATACAATTATGTACATTCATGTATACAATTATGTGTATTCTAATATAAAATTATGTACATTTTTGAACACGAGATTCTTTTTTTTTTTTTTTTAAGAAAATTAATCGCCAACACAGGGTAACGAAATTTAAAAAAAAAAATTGAAACGATGTCGTTTTGCATCAGGGCACACAATGCAATGCGCACCCTGGTGCATGATATAAATTGCCCAAATAGAGAACAGTCCGATTTGGGCCCGACGAGGCCGCCATGTCAGTATTTATTTTTGTTTTGGAGTGGAAAAGTGGCATTCGTTATTGTGCACCGCGGTAAAAAACGGTGCCGTTTCTTTAAGTAAAGAAACAGCCCGCCGTTACTATTAACGGAGTCTGCTTGTTTGGTGTATTAAATATCAACTGACACTACAGTATATCTAAACCGACACTGCAGTTATATCAAAATGATATTGTAGTTGTGGTGAAATGAAACTGCAGTGCATATAAAATGAAACTGAATAACATTTCACATATTTGAGTGTATATTGTACAATGAAGCTGTAATTATATCAAAATGATCATGTAGTTGTGTTTTAATAAAACTATAGTGTATATAAAATAAAATTAAATAACATTTTCACATATTTGAGTATTAATATCGAATTAAACTGTAGTTATATCAAAATGAAACTATAGTTGTGTTGAACTGAAACTGTAGTATATACAAAATGAAACTGAATAACAGAGTTACTTTTTGCGAAAGGGTGCGGAATGACGAAAATTGAATGCCGTTTATTTTCATTTAACAAAACGACGTCATTTTAATGCGCGGTACATAATCGATTATGTACCACGGTGCACGATATAATTTGGAAAACCAGTCTCCACTCTCCCCGCCTTAGCAGCTTCACTTCAAGAAGTAAGTAACGTTTCATTTGCACATAAACACAAACATCCTGCGCTCATTCATGATCATTTCAAGAAGTTATGTGCTTTTTAGGTTTACATTTTTTTTTTTTAATTTTTTGTTTTAACATTAATTCACCAAATGGCTTTCTGCGAACTTTTTCGTTCTCTCATCATGTTGTTTTCTGAGCAGAAGGATCAAAATCCTAAAGGTGAACTTGTCCCCACTTTCAATTGAAGGATGCCAGAGCGACAGTGATGTTTTAGAAGCAATGCTTGTCCAGGTGAAAGAGTTCAAGCGCAGTGGCAGTATATATAACCTCCTTTAAACTGATATATTTAGCATGATATGGATATTATTTTGTATTTATTTTCAGTACAGAGTTACAGTTATTAATTATGCTAATATATGCTAATAAAACTAGTATTTTTGGGAAAAAATAAATTATGGTTACAAAATATTATTGTAATTTTTTTTAAAGAAGTTGTTTGAGAGGAAAAGAATTTCATAGTATTAGGGATAAGAAAGAATAGAAATGCATCTCTTGTCACCTGCAGAAAGTCTTCTATATATGTCAGCTATTTGGTAATATTTGGTTTGATTTTGTTTAGAATTTTCTAAAGAATGAGTTTTGATAATGTAAGGTTAAGTAATGAAAATGAGGTTTCACCATATTTAATGTTATATGTTGACTTCTGCTAACAACCCTAAGAAGGAATAAAGTGAAAGGACTTAGATTTGTCATAAAAGTTTCTGAGTTCTTTTCCAGCTGAGGAATTCTTGGTTAAAAATCCAATATTTTTAGGAGATAGTAAAAAAGAAAAACTGAAAACATTTATTCTAACAATTTTAAATGCAGATAATAAGTTTTTATAAGTAAGAACAGTGAATAGATAAATTCCCATTTTGTACCTATACCTAGTTTCTTAAGCAGTGCAACATGTGAGTGTACATTTTTGACCAAGAGGAACTACCTACTATGTTTATATAATATGTTTCCAGTTGACTCAACTACTCAAGTCATTGGGGTTGAACCCATGAACTTATCCTTGCATTTCCTGGAAAAAGCTTGGTTGAAACTTCTTTGCAGAAACTCATCCCTGGAGAAATAGAAAATTGTGTTGTCCCAACTCTGGTTATGGAAGAAGCTCACAGTTGTACCAGACATAACGGTCATTTTGAGTTCAATCCCCTGCCCGTGGCCGGATCGTGTTTAGCTGTTTCATGAACAGAGTTCAGAAAGAAATAGATGGCTGATATTTTGCTTGTAGCTGCTATCAAGAAAACTGTGGAAATATCCAGCAAGCTAGCTGTTGAAGAAGGGTCTCGCCTGTTTCGATTAAGAGAGGACATCAATTGGATGGAAGGGCAATTGAGACACATGAAATCCTATCTTGAAGCTGTTGAGGCCTCCAATGGGGATGACTCTAAAGTTATAAACTTGACAAATGATATCAAGGAGCTTGCACGTGATGTGGAAGACATTCTGGAGAAGTTTGCTCCACAAATAGAATCATTTAGCTACCTCAAGACAGTTGCTTGCATTTTTCCTTACTGTAACACTGCTTATAAGTTTTCTCTGGAAATTGAAAAAATCAAGGGTAGGATCAAGAACATTGATGACAATCGAAGAACTTTTGGCATCATGGATACCAGCCGCTCTGTTGATGCTGAGAATTGGGACTTGAGAAGGTCTTATCTTCATGCTGATGAACCAGAGGTGATTGGACTAGATGATGATTGCAAGAATTTAGAGGCCAAATTGCTTGATGAAAGACAAGAGCACAGTTTCATCTCCATCATTGGTATGCCAGGTTTGGGCAAGACAACTCTTGCAAAGAAGATTTACAATCAAGTTCAACCTCATTTTGATTGTTCAGCCTTGGTCTATGTTTCCCAGGAGCCCAACATAAGGGAACTTCTCAAGGGCATAGCTAGACAAGTCGGCTTAGATCAGAATGAGGGCAGCAGCTTGGAAGTCGACCTATGTTCATTTTTGCGGGAAAAGAGGTACATAATTCTCTTCGATGACATTTGGGATAATAGATCATGGGATGCCATAAAATATGGCTTACCTTACAACGCAAAAAGTGGCAGTAGAGTTATTATTACTTCAAGAAACAATGATGTGGGTAGATATATTGGAAGTGAGTGCTCACTTTATTGCTTGCAACCTTTAGATTCTGAAAACAGTTGGAAACTGTTTTGCAAACAAATCATGATTTTTGAAACAAACCTTACTTACCCAAAAGAATTGAAGGACATTGGAGAGCAGATAGTGGGAAAATGTGGTGGTGTGCCTCTTGCTATTGTAGTAACTGCAGGTATGTTGCGTGCAAGAGAAAGAACTGAAAATGAATGGAAACAAGTACTTGTGAACATAGGTGAGGATGATAGAGATGAATGCTCAAGGCTTTGTGCTTTAAGTTATAAGGATTTACCCACTGCATTGAAATCTTGTTTCCTCTATTTCGGGCTCTTCCCCAAGGATCATGAAGTTCTAGCTTTCGATTTGATGAATATGTGGATAGCTGAGGAATTAGTAATGCAATCAAATGGGGAGCAAGAAGTAGAGGAGGTAGCAGAAAGCTTCCTCAACAAGTTACTGGCTCGAAACTTGATCCATGTTGTGGAGAGAAAATATGATGGGAGGATCAAAACTTGTCGAATGCATGGTATTTTACACAACTTGTGTGTCAGAATAGGCAGGGACAATAAATTCTGTCATTTACTTGGTGCAAAAGAATCATGGTCTTCTCTCAAAGGTTTAAGAAGAGTTGCCTGTGATACAAAGAGGACTACAGAGAATATCAACTTACATTCTCAAATTTCTAAGGTTCGTGCTCTCATGTGCTTCACAGAAAACAAAGATGATTACAGCCCTGAGAAGAAGTTTTTTAAATCTATTTCTAGCTTTAGGTATTTGCGAGTTTTAATCCTACAATTTGATAATGGATTTACTTCAGGACATTTTCCAGATGAGTTTTGGAATTTGATTCATCTAAGCTATATCAGATTTCGAGGAGTAGCTCTAGGAATTACTATGAATGTAAGCAATCTGAAAAATTTACTCACATTGGACATTCAAGATTGCGGAGCATCTCTCGATATTTTAAAGATGAAACAGCTTAGGCATCTTCTTCTGAGTGATATGGAAATGCCAATGCAGCACTATAATTGCATGTGTCATCCAGCTTCCTCAACAGAAGTGTGTTTGGAGAATCTTCAAACTCTGAAGTGGGTTAGCAGTGCAGTGCTAGAACAGATAGGAATGCATAATCTCCCCAATTTAAGAAGGCTGGGGATAGATGATCTTTCAAAAAACACATTTGAGAGGCTCTGCTGTCCCGTTCCTCCATTAGAGAAGCTTGAGGAACTTACTCTAAACATGGTTGGAATGGAGACGCTCCCACGAGAGGTTAGGGGAGAACGATGGAACCTATCCAGGTACCAAAGTCTTGTCAAACTACATGTTAACGGGCATGTGTTTGAGCTTCCCAACGTGGAGGGATTTCCGCCAAATCTCGTGAAGTTGTCTTTGCATTCCTTTAATGTCAATGAGGACCCGATGAGGACGCTTAAACAACTGCCTAAGTTAAAGATCCTCAAACTTGAATCTTATATCTGGGCTGAGTTATCAGTGATGGATTGCTCTGGAGCTGACAGCTTTCCTCAACTTGAAATGTTGCATATCCATTCTTTTCAATATCTAAAAGAGTTGATCTCTGATGATGTTGGATTGCCTAAACTGAAGAAAGTAATCATCAGGAATTGTGGGGATGTTCAGAAAATCACCGGGCGGATTCAGTCTGTGATGGGGAAGAGCCAATCTAGTGACATATTAGAAGGAGCTCAGTTGCCTATTATAGACCTGTGATATTTCATCCTTGGGACAAAAGGTAGAATCACCCACCCCAACGCCCTACACCCCGGCCCGACAGGTGTGAGACGACATGAATAGAGTACGAATAAGCTTGATTGGCTCAATATGATCAATCAATAATTGCCTATTATTGAGGGAGCTAATTTGATACTTGATAGATAGAAAAATCTAATCCTATCAACACATCTGTATTCATATATATGTGTGTGTGTGTGTGATGTGGAAGAGAGAAAACTTAATCTCTTGTATTATTCATTTATTTTAAGTTGTTATTTGATATTACACTTATCATTAGTCAAACAACAAGAGATGTGCACCAAAAATTGAAAGATGAAGAATATATTTACCTTACAAATTAACAAGAGACTAAGGTTAACTATAGGTTTATCAATATAACTTGCAGAGTTGCAGGTAAAAGAAAAGTATAGGTTTTTTAAAAATGTTGATTCGACCAATCTCAATTCCTCATAATTGTTGGATTCATTGTCTATTGGATCTCCTTAAACAGGGCTGAGGTGCTGAACCAATGGCTCATACCAATAAGGAACTGAATCCTCCCTGTGATCCTCACAACATTGGGACAATCCCTGAGGATTACTTTCTTGAGGTTTGGCATTCCTAACTCTTCATCGGAAATCAACTCTCTCAGCTTGTTAAAGAACTAAATGTGCAGCACTTGAAGCTGAGGAAAGCTTCCTGCACCAGAGAAATCCATTACAGATAACCCACCATATCCGTCTATCAGCTTGAGGAACTTCAACTTTGGTAGCCTCTTCAGAATCTTCATTGGGTCCTCATCCATCTTGGTGTAAAACAGGCACAGCTTGACGAGGTTTGGTGGGAAGGCATCCACATTTGGCAGCTTGAACAGACATCCTTTGATGCGAAGTTTGAGAAGACTATGATATCCAGAGAGGTTCAATCTAAGCATGCCCCCAATGTTGGCTGGATAAATGAAAGACAAAGAGAGTTTCTCAAGATTCTCCAATGGTGGCATTGAACTGAAGAGTTGCTCAATCTTTTGCCCGAAATGGCTGTATATTCCCAGTCTTCTTAATCTGCTGAGGCTCTGGACACCTGCAAGTTGGATGATCTCAATGCTCACCCACTCCAGAGTTCTGAGGTTTTCTAAAGAAACCGATGTGGAAGAGATGATGCTGCGATCCCGATTTGTGCCTTTGTAGCGCCAGTTTTCCATGTCAACCAGGACGTGCCTTAGCTGTTTCATCTTCCAAAAGCTGGGATGAATGCTGACTTCCCCACAACCTCGGATGTTTAAGGTCAGTAGATTCTTAAGGTTCCTTATACTGGAAGGAATGACTAGATCTGAAACTCGGAGGCGGAAGTAGGTGAGATGGATGAGATTCCAGAATTCGTTGGGGAAACATGTGAGAGTGCAGTCCCTATCGAATTCTAGGCTCAGAACTCGCAGCAGCTTAAAACTGGAAATGCATTTCAGCAGCTCCTTCTCCTTCCCATTATGTTTTTCTGCAGAGGAGCACATCAAAACACGCAGTTTTGAAGTTTCAGAGTTTGGTTTGACGTTATCTGTAATGGTCTTGGCATTGGAGGCCACTCTCCGCGCTCCTTTGGCACCCAACACGCTGCAGAACTTACTCTTCTTCCCTATCTTGACGCACAGACTACTGCGCAAAATATCATGGATTCTGCAGCTCTTGATCTTCCCGTTGTATTTGCTTCTTGAGACTTGGATCAGGTTGCGAGCAATCAGGTTGTTGAGGTATCCCTCTGCTACATCCTCAATCTCTCGTTCCTCCTCGTTACTAGGTTGTTCCACCAGCTTTTCAGCTATCCACATATTCATCAAGTCCAAAGCTTTAATTTCATAGCCCTCTGGGAACAGCCCAAAATACAGGAAACAATGTTTGAGCCTGGTGGGCAGATCCTCATAGCTCAAAGCCAACACTCTCGACCATTCATCTTCATCGTCTTGACCTATATTGTTTAGTACTTGTTTCCATTCATTTTCACTTCTTTCTCTAGCACGCAGCACACCTGCAGTTACCACGATTGCTAAAGGCACACCCCCGCATTTTTCCACTATCTGTTCTCCCACGGACTTTAGTTCTTCTGGTAAAGTTGTCATCTTTTCGAAGCTGCTGCTTGTGATTTGTTTGCTGAACAGTTCCCAGCTCTTTTCGCGATCTAGAGGCTGCAAAGTGTGAAGGGAGTGCTGCCCTCCAATGTATCTACCCACGCTGTTATTTCGCGAGGTGATGATAATCCTGCTGCCATTTTTGGCAGTGGGGATGCAATATTTGATGGCATCCCATGATTCAAAATCCCAGATTTCGTCGAAGAGAATTATGTACCTCCTTTGCTGCAGGAAAGAGTACAGGTTGGTCTCCGGGTTTTTCTTTATCTGCTCCTCCGTTAGCCCGACTTGCCTGGCTATGTCGCCAAGAAGGTCTCTGATTTTGGGGCCTTGTGAAACGTAGACCATAGCTGAACACTGGAAACAATGCTGTACGTTCTTGAAGATCTTCTTTGCAAGCGTTTGTCTTGCCTAAACCCGGCATGCCAACGATGGAGACAACCCCAAAATCGAGCCTTTGATCCCGCAATCTGGCCTCCAATTGCTCGCAGTCTTCGTCTAGCCCCCTGACCTCTGGTTCGTCAGCAAGAAGAAGATAAGCTCTCCGTGCATCCCATTTCTGTGAGCCTCTGGAGCCAGTGGTATCCATGGTGATTCCGTAAGTCTTTCGATCATCATCTATGTCCTTGATCCTCTTCTTGATGGTTTCTATCTTGACAGAGAACTTATGAACGGCGCTAAAGTTTGGGAAGATACGACATGGGAAAGAAAGGTGCGAGTCCACATGGGGAAGAAAGGTTTCGAGAGTGTCCTCAACATCGCCGGCAAGTTCTTCAATATCCTCAACCAAATTTGCAGCTCGGCGATCATGGCCTTTCCGGGCCTCCGCGATTTCCAGGTAAGATTGCATGTGTCTCAGCTGCCTTTCCATCCAGTGAATGTTCTCTCTTAAGTGCTTAAAGGCGGAGCCTTCTTCACCAACTAGATCGTTGCATACATCTATGGCTTTCATGATTGCTGCTGTAAGTAGAATTTCAGCCATCTTTTTTTTTTTTTTGGTTTTTGGTTTTTGGTTTTTGAATTAGCCCCTGCCCACAGGTCTGATGAGCTCTTGCTTGATGATTTTGGCTGAGGATTTGCTCAATTGTTATGCATGAATCAGGTGCATGAATCAGGGTTCATCTTACATTGTGAATTCTAGTCCAAAAATTATATATTGCAGTTAACAGTTTGTGATTGAAGGCGGCTTGCAATTTTCTTTGGATGCATGCATTTTTTTTACCAACCTCAATTGAAGTCAAGAAGCCTCTGCGTAGTATACAACTAACAGGTACTTTAAAATACACATTATTATATAATCTTTAGCTGTTTCAGTGTCAATATCAATTTAGTCTTTAATATTTAAATTTAAAACTTTGAAATCTCATTTGGTTATTCAATTGACTAACTTTTTTATTTGGGTAGTGGTCAAAAATTCAATTTCTAACGGTAGACTATAAGCATCTGACCGCTGTTTTTTTTTTTGATATTATATATTAGGGAAAATGGCACTTTTTCCCCCTAAGTTATATACATATAGCATTTTCCCCCCTGAATTATTCAAGTGGCTGTTTTTCCCCCTGAAATGTTAAATGGACATATTTACCCTTAAAATAAATATTTCATTTATTTTTTTCTCTAACAAATTATGACCACAAGTTGGTTCAAACCAAACAGACACTATAGAAATCAAATCGAAATATTCTAATTACAATTTAGAATCGAAATCCGATATTTAGATTTTATTAAAATCGTGAACCGGGACGGCTGGTTCATGGTCCAAACTGAAAAAAATAAAATACATTTATTGTTGAATTTAGACTATTTTAAAATAAAAAAATTAAAATTTTAAAAATAAAGACGGTTTAAAATCGCTAACCGGATCTAGAACCGCCGGTTCACGGTTCAGGATCCAGTTTTTTCAATTCATAATTTTAATGAATTGAAATTAAAATATTGGGTTCTGGATTTGAATCATAACCGGAAACTTTTAATTCGATTGCTATAGTGTCTAGTTCAATTCGAATCGAACCGTGGTCATCCCTATGTATATGCAATAATTTATTGAAAAGGAAAACTAAATAAAATGTTTACTTTAAGGGTAGAAATGTCAATAAAATATATTAGGGGGGAAAACCGCCACTTTTAAAATAATTGAGGGGGCTAATGTGCTTACATGAATAATTCAGGGGGAAAATGTGCTATAAGTATATAACTCAGGGGGAAAAAATGTCATTTTCCCTATATATTACAAGGGAAGGGGATACTCACGAGGCTTGAACTCATTACCTCCCACATACAGTGGCGGACCCAGAAATCTTCTTCAGTGGGGGCGAAAATTTTACTAACAATATATTTTGAAAAAAAAAAAAAATACTTAGAGACCTAGTCATAAATAAAAATGAAAATTTAAAAATACATCACAATAAAAAATATTTAAAACAAAATATAAAACATAATTAATTAGATAAAATAGTTCGAATAAAAAACACATTATAAATTACTCATCACACTATTAATATTAAAAAGGAAATAAAAATAAAATAGAGAATAAGTCACTATTATTCAAATAGGATAAAATATGCGTAATTGGCAAATATGCTTAAAACACACGTTCAGTTCAAGTCATTAGAATTTAGAAGGATTCAAACCCCTTCAAATATGCTAAAACACACGTTCAATCAATAGAAGGATTCGAACCCGTACCATTCCAATATTCCATAGGAAAAGGCGTATGCTCTCCCATCTGAGCTAACTACTATTCTGTTAAATTTGGCTGTTTTTTATTACTTATACTATTATCGTGTACTATATATACATACACATGTACATACAAGGGTTATATATGGGGTGGGGGTGGGGTGAGTGGGGGCACCTGCCCCTACTGCCCCCATTGTAGGTCCGCCTTTGCCCACATAGAAGGGTAACTTGATACCATTAGACCACAAGGTTCTTGGTATTTGACTACTGTTTAATGGCTAGAAATTTTAATAATTTCACTAGGATATATTGTGCTATATTTTGTTGCTAATTGAAAATGTGTTTGAAACATTAATTGTTTTGTAAAGAAAAAAAAATCCCAATAATAAGCACGTGAGAATTAAAAGATTAGGGACAACCTCAGCTAAGTTGGTCAAACTATTGGTTTAATAACCACAAAATTATAAGTTCGACCCCTATTGGGAGTGGCCTACTGGCCTCCTTACGATTTTTTCACTCATCATCCCAAAAAAAATAATAAAAGAGAATTAAAAGATTATAGTTTGGGAAAAATGTAATATTAGTCCTTCAATTGTTTCCTAATTAGTGGTTTTAGTTTTTAACTTTTTACCGTTGCAATAACACTCATAACTCTTCAAAAAAGTTGTAGCTTTAATTCTTGAAGCAACAAAACTATTAAATTATTAATATTTTACTTAATACATGAGTATTTTAGTACGAAGAGTTAAGGGTATAAGATTTAAAATCACTATCAATGAAATTGTATTTTTTTTTTCATTCTAATTTTATTAGTTTGTTCGAACGGGTAGGACTTGTGACTTTCGAGGAAAAACGCGGATGAAAAGTCTACTGCAATATATTTCCAATTTTCCACACTTCTAGAATTTCTTAGATTAAACTGGTTTACTCAGCAAAGCATTCAACCAAATGCATCCGGAGTCCAACATATTTGGTGTTTAAAAGATGAAGAGAGGCTACACAAACACACCTGTACAAAATGCACTTCTTAAAGTATTCCCTACCGATTACTATTTAAAAAGAAGACACTTTTTAAAATATTCATATTTATTATATACTTTCTCAAACATTATCAGCCCAAAGAATCTAATTGCCTCCACCATCGGAATTCGAACCTACAATTATCCAATTGAAATGATAACCGAGATGTCATCACACTATAAGATAGTTGGCAAAAAGAAGACACTTAACTATACAAAAACTACTATATCGTGTAGTGGTGAAAATGTTTGTGATAATTGTATGAGCAAGTAACATTTTTCTTTAAAATGGTTTCGGCCCAATTATAGAACTGTAAAGTTTTTGTCCACAAAAGGCAAAATTTCTTTTTTCGATTCCACACTTTAATTATGCTGCCCATGCATGGACGATGTCGTTTGTGATAATTGCAAAGACGATGTCGTTTTGCATCAAAACGCGCGTCCTACTTAAAAAAAAATCAGTTTCGATTCTCAGCAACAACATTATGTTGTTCATCTCTTAGTTTATTCATTCTGAATTTTTAGTTATTAAATTATGGATGTGTAGGTATGTAATTCTGGATTTATAGTTATGAAATTATGGATGTGTAATTATGCATGATGTAGTTATGCAATCTGGATTTTATAGTTATGAAGTTATGGATGTATAGTTATGCAATTCTGGATGTATAGTTATGTAATTCTGGATGTATAGTTATGAAGTTATGGATGTGTAGTTATGCAATTTTGGATTTATAGTTATGAAATTATGGATGTGTAGTTATGTAATTCTGGATGTATAGTTATGAAATCATGGATGTGCAGTTATGCAATTTTGATTTTTTTTTTTTTTTTTTTTTTTTAAGTTAGACGTCAAAACGACGTCGTTTTTGCATCAGTATGCACCATGCACGGTGCATACGGATGCACAACATAATGATTGCTCCTAAACGGTGAACTTGTAGGTGATATACTTGAAATGGTAGAATAAACATAAAGATGTAAGTACAAAGAGAGAGTAGTGAAATGTTGGAAAACAATAGCTTAAAATGGCATAAAATGACATATTAAGTGGCTATTTTGTGGTACAATTATCAGTGGGGTCCACTTCCGATTTGGGTCGGGTCAAAGTGGATTCGGGTTCTTCGTAGTGAGACGAAGATATTGATATATTGTACGCTCAAAACGGATAATGGGTGAATGAGATATTGATTCTCAAAGTAGACCCATTTGGGTTGGAAAATGAAGGGAAAAAGTGAGCTTTTGTCCACATTGATTTGGAAAGAGGATTTGCCCCACTATTTATACATGAGCTCTTTTTAAGCTTATTGGTAGCAATGATTCGTGCTTGGTATAGCATGTTTCGTGCTTCACTACTAAGCACTGATTCGTGCTTCAATTTCGGAAGCACTGATTCAGGTTTGTGGCCTTCGGTCAAAAACCGAACAGATTTGTAAAGGCTAATCTGTTAGCTTCTACGAGATGTGCTAACGTGTAGCACATGTCTATTCTTTATAAGAATAAAAGGATAACCAAATTAATTGTGAATTAATGCGGTTATGAACGATCGATGTGGTGAACGTGAAACACCTATTGGTGATTTCGGCGCAAGCGTTGGTATTGTACTCGAGAGTACGGTACGGTATTCACCTCAATCGAACGTTGTTGCCGAACATAAATATCAAGACGTTGATAAGTTCGGGTCTACCTCAAAGTATGTGAGGTGAGACAATACTTTGGACAAGTAAGTACCTTTTAAATAAGGTTACCCGCATGAAATTCTTACGAATTGTGGGTACATAGGAAATTTTCCTACTAATGCCTGAAATGTGGGGGTGTCTTGCCAAAGGTGTATATTGGGTTCTTAGTACACGAGTCCTATAGTTTGGATGTACATAAGAACACAATAAACTGAATCAAGAAATTCATCGTTCTTTGAAGATGTATTTTTGTGAAGGTTCAATATCGGACCTAGCACGTTGAAATGAAATTTCGACGTAGCTATGGTTGAAGGGTATGAAAGAGAACCCGAGCTCAAAGCTAGACGTAGCAAGAGAGCTAGGATTGAAAAATCCATTGGTCCAGATTTTCTGAAGTACATGCTAGAATGTGACGCGCATATTCTAACTTGTTTACTAGAAAATAAATTGGATTTTCTGACAAGGTTGTTAGAAAACGAGCCTCGAACGTATGTAGAAGTTGTGACTTCTACAGGTGGACCAACCCGAGAGAGGCTATCGAGAGTGAAGTAAATTCTATCTTAAAGAATCATACTTGGAACTGGTTGTTCTTCCTTCGGGTTGTAAAACCTCTAGATCCTAAACGGATCACTAGTCGGAAGATAAAACCGGTTGGTTATATCGAAGTAAAATGACCGGGCTTGTAATTGTAGATTACATGCAACACGAGTGCCACGATTACTTCAATATGTATTCTCTTGTGATGAGAATGAAATCCATTAGGATGATACTTCCCGAGAGCTGTTTAGCGAGACTTGGAAGTTTATCGAAATGGATGTATCGCTTTCTTAATAGACATGGAACAACCCGAGGGTTTTGTGGTTCCGTGCTATGGAAAGAAAGTGTGTAATTGGTGAGACATTGTATGGCTTGAAACAATAGCCTTAGTATTTGGCGTGTCTTGATCATACAATGATGTTTAACGAGTTTAGTATAAACAAAGGTGACAAAGGTCTACGTAATGCGTACGATAGACGAGGTTATCACTATTTATCTATACACGATAAACTCAACGTGGATAGTAACGATCACATGATCAATTCTACTAGGGTCATGTTAAATTTGAGATTTGACATGAGACGAGTGAGTTTGGCAGATTTAATCTTCGAGATTGAAATCGTGGGAAGACCGTATGGTCTCGTGTTAGCCAATCTCGCCGAGTTGATTGAATCCTTGTAAAGGAATGATAATCAAGTGGTTTGGACACCGTTAGATACTAACGTACAACTAGCCAAGAATCACGAAGATTGTACATCTCACGGAGAATACATTCAGATTATTGGTAGTTTAATTGTATCTAATGAGTTGTACTAGGACGGATATTGCCTTTGCGGTTAACGAACTCGGTAGACATACGAGTAGCCCTAGTGTTGCGCACTAGAAGGCAATAGAAGTTATGAGATACTTAAGGTATGCTCGTGACTTTGGACTGCACAACGTGGGATATCTAGCCGTACTTGGAAAGTATAGCACGGATATCAAAGGACGCTAAGTCCATCAAAGGCTACGTCTTTACGTAGGCCTGTGCAGACGGTTAAACGGAAATTCTCGAAATGAATTTGTGATAGCTAAGATCCGACGGGATCAAAGCTGAGAGCCTTACACTCGTGTCGCGAGCGAGTAGGCCGAATGGCTATGCCATTATTTCGAGAATGTTCCTAGTGGTGAACTCGTACCTCCAATTTGTGTGCATTGCGATAGTCAAGCCAAAATTGGTTAAGTACAGAGTTAAATGTGAAATGGTAAGTCTAGACTTATAAGTCGTAGATATAATACCATTAAACAATTTCTCACAACGGGGGTTATCTCTATTGACTACGTGATGTCAAAAGATAACGTAGCGGCCGCTAACTCGCTAACCTGAGGGTAAGCAAATGGTTGTTGAGAAATTGGAACGAGGAATGGGTCTAAAGCCCTTGGACTAAAAGTTCTATAGTGGACACCCAACCTAGCTGGTACCTAGGTTCAATGGGACAACTAAATTATGAAACGGAGCGTGTCACTGTGGGGGTCTCGGACTCCTACCACTCCTCGTTAGAACAGTGACTCCCGCGCAAGGTTAGCATGTTGATGCTTTAATGATTCGAATGTCGGTTGGCATGTGTGAGTATGCGGGATACTCGGAAAAGAATCACCTATGTGAGAGAGAAGTGAGGGTCGCTTCAAAGGAGAATTTATAGGCACAATTCTTCACAAACTCTTGCAGAACCAGGACGGTGACCCACGACTAAAAAGGGCACACTCATGAGAACAGAGCATGGTTGGTAGGTTCCTGTGTGAGATATGTCATCGTCTACAAAAACGGCAGTCGGTTCAAAGACATCGCGTTCTACCGTACAGCTAGTAGAGTAAACATGTCTTCACAAGGGAAGGTTCAAAGTGTATAGTGATCCCTACCTATCCTATGCAGGGATCGACCGTTGAACACAGTTGTTTCCGATTTCAAAATACCCTGAAAATCAATTTTTCATTCATGTGGGGGATTATTGGAAAAAAATAGCTTAAAATGGCATATTAAGTGGCTATTTTGTGGTACAATTATCAGTGGGGTCCACTTTCGATTTGGGTCGGGTCAAAGTGGATTCGCGTTCTTCGTAGTGAGACGAAGATATTGATATATTGTACGCTCCAAACGGATAATGGGTGAATGAGATATTGATTCTCAAAGTAGACCCATTTGAGTTGGAAAATGAAGGGAAAAAGTGAGCTTTTGTCCCACATTGGTTTGGGAAGAGGATTTGCCCCACTATTTATACATGAGCTCTTTTTAAGCTTATTGAATTGTATAGCATAAAGGCTCTTTCTCACGCGCAGGGGGGTGCAAATCAAATCTCAGAATATCATCCGAAAATTGACAGGCCTTGTGGGTAAAGTTTTGGTATCATTTTCCATTTTAGCCATGAAACAATTGTTTCACGTGCCTGATGGCCGAAACTACTACTTAGGCCGAAAGTTTGGCCTGAAACTCTTGTTTGTGACTGTTGGGATTTAATTCAGCTATTATGGGATTAATTCTTTGAATTAATTTCAATTTTAATTTTTGAATTAACACCCATGTTAATGGTTACCGTTACAAGAGTTATAGGGATGCACTTAAATGCCATAATAAAGGTTATTCACTCCTCATTCCCTATATAAGAAGGAGTTGAGCAGTAGCATTTTTAACACACAAGAAAATAACTTTTCCAAGCCTCAAAATATTTCTGCTTCTACTCCATTCTTGAAGCTGTGTTTTTGCCCGTGCTCTTGTTCGCCGGGTTCGTTCGTTTGGGTGCTCAAACGTCGAACCGTTGTACGTTTTATCATGGGAGACCTAGGCCACAACGCTCCTAGCACTTTTGGGAGGTGGCAAATAAGGTTTTAAGGAAAGAAAGGCACTTCGCCTAACTCGTACATTTCTTTCTTCCTTCTCCTTCTTTCTTGTTTGGATTATGCATTTAAGCAAAAATCCGTTCTCTCTCTTTTGATATTTTATTTGGATTGGACTCATAATCTGAGGATTATTAGTTTCAATTTTGGTTAATATATATTGGTATATCTTTTTCGTAGATATACATGTATATATAACCTTTGGATCCGTTTATATATATTTGTGTGTATATATATATTTCGGATAAATATCCAATAATATTTTATATACTTGTGTGTGTATATATAAATATTATTCTTGGGATATTAAATCGATTGTGGTTCATTATCACCAACATGAAATGGTAAAATAAACATAAAGATGTAAGTACAAAGAGAGAGTAGTGAAATGGTAAAATAAACATAAAGATGTAAGTACAAAGAGAGAAGGGAGCTCTTTCATTATTCAAATCTTACATACAACTACACATCCAATACATGACAATATATATAATACAAACGTCATAATGATAGGATTAATGACGACTGTTGCATCCATTACAGATATAACGTCCATTTATGATATATTTATAACACTCTTTATTGGACATTATTTTACCATAATCATGCCTCGTTAGAAACTTGTTAAGAAAATTCGATGGGAAAAACCTAGACAAGAAAATAGTACAAGTGATATATGTGTAATATATTAAAATATAGACATGCCTCGTTAAAAACCTCAGTAGAAAAATCACGTGGGAAAAAACCTTGCTGAGGATAAGAGTACATGTTGTACTGGTTGCCCCATTAAATACCTTACTAAGAAAACTCTATGGAAAAAACTTAGTTAAGGGAAAAAGAGTGCAACCATGAACCTTCATGGTTCAATCTTTCAATATTTACAAGAGTATAATATAAAATATTTTTCATAATCATTTGGACCAATAAATTTCTTTGTATTTTGTTGCTCCCCTGAGAACAACATTTTCCTTAACCTACATATATTAGTCTTATGGATATATTTTTTGTAGGTAGGGACTTAATGAATACAAAATTGTCAATATAATGGAGCAAATCTTCTGAACAGATATTTTATCACTTTTCTGGAGTAAAGGAATTTTATATATATAAAAAAAAACTATATATATATATATATATATATATATATATATACACACGTTTGATTATTACCAAGTATGATGACTTCATGTCTATTGAATTGGTAAAAAGACATTAATGACAAATATTTTACTGTGATTTGCTACTGCCCATTTTTTCTTATCTCATTCCTTACATACAACTACACGTCCAATACATAACAATATATATATATATATATATATATATAATACAACTAGGGGCGTTAAGCAGGGCGACCCTCATATTCGTTGCTCTTTATTCTGGCTTCGGAGGCGCCTCGCCCTCTATCTCCGTTGCTCTTTATTCTGGGTTTGGAGGCGCTTTCGACCTTTGGGGAGTTCAACTTTGCTACGGCCTACAACTTTTTGCGACCGCAAGCAGGTTGTAGTCTCTCTTCAACTAGCATTAGGGGTGGAGGTCTTCCAACACAAATCTCCTTTTTCATGTGGAGACTGTTGCGGCGTTTGTTGCCATTCCCTGATGTTATACATCGTTTTGGATTTTGCGTACCCTCCATTTGTCCTTTTTGTCTTTGTGCCTTAGCAACTCTAGATCACTGTCTATACGGCTGCGCTAAAGCTCGGTTGGTCTAGGGTCACTTTGATGGTTTATTTGGTATAGCGAGCTCCGATGTGAGTTTGATTCGAGCAAAGTGTCACGGCTGGTGGTTGCGTGCTACTCCGGGATCGTCGACACAGTTTGTGACGCGACTAATACCATGCTTAATACTGTGGTTTTTGTGGAGATCATATAATGAGGGATTGTACGATGGGTGGCCTTTTCACATATAGGAGCCATTGTTGGAAATATTCCATTCAAAGCAAGCAGCGCATAATGTGGATACATGGTCACTAATGACTTGTCACGTACAAAGGAGTGGCTGCATGGGTTGCTCATTTCCACTCCCTAATTTCTAGCTAATATGTGGATGAAATGAGCTGAAATCTCTCCTTTGTACAATATATAAAGGAGTTTGTCTTTTTGTCTAAAACACACAAAAAGATATATCTTCTTCATTCCTTCTCATACTCATTAATATATATATATATATATATATATATATATATATATATATAATATAATTCGTGTCTGCCTATTAAAGTCTGAGCAATAGTGAGGTTCGCCTACGTGATTGCTAGTGCATGCTATCCGTAGAAGGTCTGTGTAGCATGTCGAAAGCTTGCCAGGGTTCTAACTGCACCGTTACCGGGCAAATAACGCTTTTAAGGTAGTGTTATTGTAACACGGCACAGATTTCCTTTCAACCATACACCAATAGTGTCCGTGCTTCTTAAAAGGCTTCCAGATCGTGCGTTGACGTTGATGTTTTCCCTAACAGTTAAAAGCGTTATTCTGCAACAGTCAACCTTTAACATTATGGCACCTTCTGTCATACCGGATCTATCAAAATTACCACGCTTGATGGGAAAAATTACAATAGGTGGGCTAAAAGAATGCTTATTCTTTTCGAACAATTAAAGTTGGTTTACGTGCTATATTCAGTTGCACCTGAACCTACTCCAACAGTGTTCTCTCCCTTTGGTGCTACAAAAGCTAACCATGATTCTGATTACACTCCGGGTGAAGAATCGAGAGAAAGCTCTCCTGAAATAGATTATATTCCGAGTCAAGAACCGGGTATAACTCTGATGTAGTTTAGAAATGACAATGCGGCAGCCAGAGGATACCTTCTGTCTCAAATGAATGACGATTTGTTCGACATCTATGTCAAACAAGACTCGGCAAAAGTCATTTGGGAAACACTGTCAGAAAAGTACGGTTCCAATGAAACTGAAAATCAAAGTGTCAGAACGGTCTACAACAAAAGGACTAGAAAAATCAAGAAGTTCAAAGGAAGGTGTTTTACATGCAAAAAGCGAGGACACCGAGCACACCAGTGCTACCATCACAATGGCAAATCTAGCAAAAATCAATCTGACAGAGCAAGATGAGTATTGAGTCTCTTTAAATAAATAGTTATTTTGAGTAACTATATTTGCTCTAGTTCTAAGGGTTCGCATGAAGTATGGTTATCTTAGTACTGAATTCTAGTTGAGCTGTCTAGATTTTGATTACTTAGTAGTACTTATTTCTTTAGTATTTTGAATACTAATGACATTGATTGAAATAATTCGTGCATAGATA